TTGGTGGGAAACCTGGGGAGAAGGAAACCAAATAGACATTTGTTATGTTCCTTGGATGTGTAGTGATTGATGAACTAACAACAATCCAATCTTAAGAGATTAAACAGTTTAAATAAATGGAGAAGAAAGTCATATAATTTAGTAGGGACACTGAGAATAATAAGATTTTTGTGTTTACATGAGGTTAAATTAGTGTAGTTTCTGTGCAAATCCAGTATATCATCCTTTTCTCTTGCAAAATTTTAGTGAGTTTTCTCTAGAAGCTTAGAGAAGTGAGGTAACAGATGAAAGTGAAATAGAGTACTAAAGACAGATATCTTTCTCATTTTCTCCCCTAAACTCTTCCGTAGGCACTCACTTACTTGTATGTCATATACCATCCAAAGCTTTAATTTCTTTCTCTGGGAAAAGTGATACAAGGTATTCAGAAGTATAAAATGTTTGAAGTGCTAAAGTGTGAAATGCCACGCAAAAGATAGATATTAGAAGCAATCTCAATTTTTAGAAATTACATTTTCTTTATTTGGAGATAGGCCTTACTCTAAAAGCTCTAGTTCTTTGGTACTGCATTTTTTAAAAAGGCAGTTGTGCAGAAATTACATTATCTGGTGACTCGGTTTCATTCAGGCTTTTATTTTGGTCTGGTTTTAAATTTTAATTTTTAATGGCAATTTTAAAATCAGTGAGAATGTTCATGGTTGCATGATACCTAAAGCCTCTTTGATAATAATCATGTTTAAATAATTTTACTTGTTGAATTACTAGGACACCTTTTCAAGGTTAAAATTTTAAGGTGAATTGTGCTTTTCTTTAGTAATAGAATAGCTTTTCTTTTCTGGGTAGATGTTGTATTTCTGTGTGTTTTTATTACATAGTTTAAAAACAGAAGTAACCATAAAGATCTTTTACAGACTATATGTAATATGTGACATTTTGCAAGCTGTAAAATTATTAGATTTTCTATTCCTTAGGAATTTTATTTTATGGTTACCTACAGAGATTGCTAAGAACATCTAGTGTATAGATGTAACACTTATTTTTCAGTCCTTGTTTAAAGTCACTGTTAACAGATTTGCCAAAGGAGGCCAACTTTATCATCATAGAGTATCAAACTCCTCAGAGATTAGTTTCTAAACACGTTAAAGATTTATTCCTGATTCTCTTATTTGCTGAGATCTTCATCCTGTAATGCCATCTCAGTTTAACATTTCAATGCCAGCTTTAGCAAAATACCTCAGTTAGCTGAATATGTTTTTAAAAAATTTAGCTTTGAAAAACACACTATATACACATCACACCAGAATTACAGACATGATGCCTATTTATTTTCATAAAGTATATTTAAAAACCATAGACAAAATATTTTAGATATAAAAATAATTTAGATAGTTATAGTCAGGTTTTAGGGAAGGTAATGTATTTACAAATGTATGCATTTACAAATTTATTCATTGTAAAGAATTTACCTTGCTAAGCTCCTAGAACCTCGGTATGATTAAGCTTTTTTATATCTGCTCAATGTCCTCACTTCTTAAGTGACTAACCCAATCTGTCATTCTCTTACTGTTTACCAGAGTCTTTGCCTTTTGTGTATACTATGTAGTTGAAGCCAGCAGTCAGGATTTCTTCCTACTTTTTGTATTCCAAGCTCTTGTCCAACCCTCTCCCTCAAAATATCATATCGACAGAAATTAAATATCAATATTACTAAGGTTTCAAAAGAAATAGTGTTTTTCCCTTGAGGAATATTTTATCTTTTCTCCTAGTTTAACCTTTTTTCTTTTCTATCTGAGATCTTGACCCAACTATTCACAATTCACCAACTCTCTTTTTTTATTACTCATGTAGACCATGAACATGCATATTTTTATAAATTGAACAATCTTCTTCATCTTGCAATCCATTCTGATTATAGCTTCTTTCTAAAAATAAACTTCTTAAAGAAATGTATACCTTAGAATTTTCATTTAGTCTAACCCTGTATAGCATTTATTAAAAACACTTTATTATGAACATTTGTGTTACTATAAGCCAATGCATGTGTTTCTTCTTAACTTTGCACATGTTTTGTGTTACTGTTTTTGTCTGTAAGAAAGATTTTAGGAGATGTTTAAAAATAATTTTTTGCAAGTAATTTATGTAGCATAGGGTTGGTCTTGATTACTGATAAGAAAGTAAATTAGATAAAATGTATTTTCTTTTTTTTTTTATCCTCACCTGAGGACAATTTTCCATTTTTGTTCAGATAGCATGGGAGGGGGGGAGAGAGACAGAGACAGAGAAAGAAACATCAACATGAAAGGGACACACAGTGGCTGCCAACCACATGACCAACCAGGGCTGGGTACAAACTGCAACTGAGGTATGTGTCCTTAGCGGGAAACGAACCCCGGTTTCTCTGGACCACAGGCCGATGCTCTAACCGCTGAGCCAAACTGGCCAGGGCTATTTTCACTTTTTAATGTTGGCTTTTGAAATCCTAAATTTATTTCAATGTTTTGTGTAATTTTACATAAGAATGTTGATTTCGACAATTGCAATTTTTGATCTCATTAAATATGAAGAATTTTCAGAAGTATTTTAAAGATGTAAAAATCTAAATTCTTTGTTCATAAGCAAGAATTTAAGACAGAATTAAATAGTGGTCAAAATTATTACCACTGGCTTAGCTGAGTTGTGCTTCAATCATGAACATATTCATCTGATCTCTACTTATGGAAACCATCGATTTATTGCCTTCAACAACTTAAATCTCATAAAAGGATATACATTATTATTATTTTTTTTATATGTTTTCATTGATATTTTTGGAGAGAGAGAGACATTTTTGGGAGAGAGAAACATCAATCAGTTGCCTCATAATGGGGATAGAGCCAGCAACCAGGGCATGTGCCCTGAGCAAGAATCAAACGGGACTTCTCATTCCATGGGACAATGCACAATCCGCTGAGCCACACTGATGGCCTTATATACATTCTTAAGATACCAAAAGTTGATTGTTATCTGAGGTCACAAAACCTCAGATAAGTCATTCATTCAACTTTTATAAACTTCAGTTTGGTCTGCTGTATACAGTGTTGGCAATAGTTTAACACCTTTCTCATAGACATAGTAGTATAAGTAGTACTTGTAGTAATCAGTAAATGTTAGCTATATTATTAGTATTATCACATTTAAAAATAATCATCTGAATTATCTGTCTTTCTACTGTATTATAAACTTATTAAGTTCATGATTTTTTATATTTTTAAATTCTACCTAGCCCAAGGTCTGATTTATAGTTGTGATTTTTTGTTAAATTGAACAAATGTACAACCAAAAGGATAACAAAATACACCTGTTCTCGAGGGAACATAAGAAACGAAACTGTAAAGGAAATGAAAAGGTTTGAGTGTATTAAAAATAAAGTAAATCAATCGTCTTTTCTTATCTTTGGTTGTTTTTTTCCACTATGTGTTACTGATCTTTTGCTCTGTCAGGCCAATTGTGTGTAGAGCACAAAGAACATTCTTAACTCTTTGTCTGATGTACTCAACATTAGTAAATCTAATTTTTGTGGTGCGTTAAATTGTTTCATTACTCCTTTTTTTTTAATTCTCACCCGAGGATATTTTTTTATTTGTCTTCAGACAGAGTGGGATGGAGGGAGACAAAGAGAAATATCGATGTGAGAGGGACACATCGACTGGTTGCCTCCCTCATGACCACGACCAGGGCTGGGGATGAACTGCAACCCAGGTAAATGCCCTTTACCAGAATCAAATCCATGGCTCATTGGTCTGCAGGCCAACCCTCTAACCGCTGAGCCGAACGAGCCAGGGCTCATTACTCTTCATTAAACTTTATTTTGTTCCATTGGATGACCATAAGAGGATAGCAGTGAATGGAAAGGTTGCATTTTGTGGATATTTTATTTTTGCTGTTTATTCCCATCCAAACTTTGTTTCTTTTGCACACTGTTTTTTACTTTTGTTAATTTTCCAAATCTTAAATGTAATGCCACACTCTTTCTTTTGCTACTTGGATTAAGTTTAAAATACGAAATGTTCTGTATTCTCTGAATCTGAGCTGGTCGGACTCAATGCGTGCATTTATTGGTAAGAAAAGGTAGATATTTCCCCCCCCCCAAACATAAAATAGTCAACCTTCATTAAGGTATGTAAGGATGTTTAAATATACATTGACTGCATTTATCAGCAGAGACACAGACTTTTTTTTAATCCTCACATGAGGATATATATATTTTTTTAAGATAGGAAGGGAGTGGGAGAGAGAGAGAGAAACATCAATATGAGAGAGACACATTGATTGGTTGCCTCCTGCATGACTGTGTTGGGGGCTGGGGATTGAACCTACAACTGAGTGAGGTATGTGCCCTTGACCAGGAATCGAACCCACAACTTTTGGTTCATGTGGCAATGCTCTAACTGCTGAGCTATACTCACTATTTTTGTGAAATCATGTGTTGTGTGTATGTGTAGTTTTATGTTTAAACAGTTTCTTAGTAGAATTTATGTTCACCATTGCAGTGTATCTTTCTGAAAATATTTTGATATTTAAAAAAATTTACAATTTTAATAGAAATGGATAAGAAAATATATTATTAAGGAGCAGTGAACATTAAGTAGTAATAATAAAATAAGACCAGTGTTTGCTGATTTTGCTACTAGGATATTCCTAAGATGTTCAAGAATATAATAATGCTTATAACTAATGGATATAATTATATCCTTGCATAAGGTATGTTGTTTCATTATTTTTGTTCGTTTTTAAGGTTACCAGGTGTTTGCTTTAAGAAAAATATATTTTTACCTTACTATCTCCTCCCACTTTTAGAAGCCTCAAAATGTATTCATTTTTTCTTCTACTTTTTAAATCATCCAGTTTCATATGTTATGCTAAAGATTATATTTGTAGAAAGGACTTTAGAAAATGGTAATATTTTATTTAAGTATCTGATATTATTTATTTATTTATTTATTTATTTTCCCAATTTTTAGTGGATGATACTGGCAAAATAGAACAGAATGATGCCTCTGTAATGGCTATGGACACAGAGTCGGAAATCAGTTCTTGTAAAGTGGATGGCACTTGTCCTGAAGTTATTAAAGTATACATTTTTAAAGCTGATCCTGGAGAGGATGACTTAGGTAAGAGGAAGCTCTCAGTATTTTAATATCTTAATCAAACACGTCAACCAGATTGCTTTGGGGTGGTTTAGACGAAAACATTTATATATATATTTTTTAAGATGAGTTTTAAAACATTTTCAATATGCTAATGTAAAACAAGTGTTAGAAGAGCTAATGATTTTTTAAAGTGAAACAGGTGAAATTAAGTTTTCACATAAATTCTTGGAGCTGTCCTCTTTCCTGGTAGGTGGCACTGTAGACATTGTGGAGAGTGAGCCTGAGAATGATTGTGGGGAACTACTTGACCAGAATAGCAGTATTCGTGTGCCAAGGGAAAAGATGGTTTATATGACTGTCAATGACTCTCAGCAAGAAGGTGAAGATTTAAGTAAGTAGATGGCCTGTTTATATGTTTCTGTGTGCTTTTAGTTGAAAATGCATATTTGAAGAAATGCAGTACTATTGTAGGCATATTTCATATTCTGTATGCCATATTCCAAAGAAAATCAGCTACTCTTAAAGTATGCTTAGAATTTTACTTGAAAAAGAAATTATGTTGAAGGCAGAACAAGGAATGATTCATTCAACAATGTAAAGACTATTTTTACTTTATGAAAATAATGTTCTAGATATGTAACATTTGAACCTTTTTGTCTTTGTCTATTAACTGAATTCAAATAACAAATCATGTTTGGTGTCTTATAAACCTGGTCCCAAAGCGTTCTGTTACTTTACTACTTAGATGTTGCAGAAATTGCTGATGAAGTTTATATGGAAGTGATTGTGGGAGAAGAAGATGCTGCTGTTGCAGCAGCAGCAGCTGCTGCTGCTGTGCATGAACAGCAAATTGATGACAATGAAATAAAGACTTTCATGCCAATAGCATGGGCAGCAGCTTATGGTAAGTGACAGCAGCTAAAATAGTTCATGGTTCTTAAACATAAATTATTTTTGAAAAATTGTTTTTATAGCATAGCATAGGTTTCGGAAATTTGAAGTACCAGTTCAGTGATTTAAAGAAAAGTAAAGGAAGCTTATGTAGTTTTATGTTTTTTTTCTTTAACTTTAATAAGAATTTCCTTCATGTCTATTTTCTGTAAGGGTGTATAGGCTTTCAGCCTGAAATTTTTTATCTTGAATATAGCTGGACCAAGACTTTATAATTTTGAGTCACAATGAAGTATGTTATGCTAGATTTGAAAGTTACATATTTTCTAGAATCTTATAAATAAATATGCCTATAAAACTTATTAACTAGATAGGGAATTTTCGTCATTCATGAGTATCATGGCTTTTCATTCCTGTAGTTAATAAAGATTTCCTAATTCTTTATAATTAAAGAATACTGTATAATTATGTTTTTTAATGCACATTGTTAGGTAATAATTCTGATGGAATTGAAAACCGGAATGGCACTGCAAGTGCCCTCTTGCACATAGATGAGTCTGCTGGACTTGGCAGACTGGCTAAACAAAAACCAAAGAAAAGGAGAAGACCTGATTCCAGGCAGTACCAAACAGGTGAGGGCACACGAGTTCCACAGCACAGTGTGCTTTGTGAGCTCTCAGATGAAACTAATTATGTATCCACAAAGGTACTGTGATGGCGTTTTAGCTGTTAGGCCATATGTAGCTTTTGAGTATTGAATTAGCAAATATAATTTTAAGAACTTGGTGATATTCATGAATGATTTCCTTGGATAAAAAAGAAATTGTTTTTGGATTAGAGATTCAGGAAAAAATTAAAATCTCAGATTATTTTAGTAGAAATGAAAAGTTTCTAAAATATGATGTTAATTTTCAGTGAATAAATATAAATAATCTGTTGTTCTCAGCATAAATCAGGCATCATTTACAGAGGAATAAGACAGATACTTTGGTTATTTTGGGGGGCATATTTCTTTCATTGTCTGGTAGACTAATTTGCATATTAAAATGTTCTTTAGAGTTGTGGTTGAACTTTTTTTTTGGTTAATTTGCCACTGGAAGATATTTTTCTATTGATTTTTAGATAGAGTGGAAGGGAAGAGGATGGGAGAGAAAAAAAGAAAAACATCTATGTGAAAGAGAGACATCTTGACCAGCCAATTTGGCTCAGTGGTTGAGCGTCGACCCATGCACCAAGAGGTCGCAGTTCAATTCCTGGTCAGGGCACATGCCCAGGTTGTGGGCTCAGTCCCTAGTGGGGGGCATGCAGGAGGGTAGCCAGTCAGTGTTCTCTCTCATCAGTGTTTCTACTCTCTCTCCCTCTTCCTTCCTCTCTAAAATTAATAAAGAAAAATATATTAAAAAGAAAAAAAAGAAAGATTGATTGGTTGCTTCTCTCATGCACCCCAACCAGGACTGGAGATAGAACCTATTACCCTTCAATGCTGCCAATGCTCTAACCACTGAGCAAAACTGGCCAGGATAGTTGTGGTTGAATTTTAAGGTAGTATAAATTTGTCTTGGAATAAACAGAGTTGTAATTTTGAGCTGTATTTTTATGAATCATTTACGGTACATACCTAAATTAAATTGGTACTTTATTTTTACCTGGGAGTGAGATTGGTACAGTTATACTGAATGAAGTTTCTGGAACAGATTCTCTTTATTATGAGGTTGCTATATCTCTTTTGTTGCCATAATAAAGTAATGTTAATCTAATTTAGTAGTGCTTGTCATAATGTTTCAAGTATACACTTTATATTCTTGAAGAAATCAAAGCAGAACTTGTTTTAATCTCTCATGAGCCTTTTTTTTCTTTTCTTAGCAATAATAATTGGCCCTGATGGACATCCCTTAACTGTCTATCCTTGCATGATTTGTGGGAAAAAATTTAAGTCCAGAGGTTTTTTGAAAAGACACATGAAAAATCATCCTGAACACCTTGCCAAAAAGAAATACCACTGTACTGACTGTGATTACACTACCAACAAGAAGATAAATTTACACAACCACCTGGAAAGCCACAAGCTGACCAGCAAGACAGAGAAAGCCATCGAGTGCGATGAATGTGGGAAGCATTTCTCTCATGCTGGGGCTTTGTTTACTCACAAAATGGTGCATAAGGAAAAAGGAGCCAATAAAGTTCATAAGTGTAAATTTTGTGACTATGAAACAGCTGAACAAGGGTTATTGAATCGCCACCTTTTGGCAGTCCACAGCAAGAACTTTCCTCATATTTGCGTAGAGTGTGGTAAAGGTTTTCGTCATCCATCAGAGCTCAAAAAGCACATGCGAATCCATACTGGAGAGAAGCCATACCAATGCCAACATTGCGAATATAGGTCTGCAGACTCTTCTAACTTGAAAACGCATGTAAAAACTAAGCATAGTAAAGAGATGCCATTCAAGTGTGACATATGTCTTCTGAATTTCTCAGATACCAAAGAGGTGCAGCAACATGCTCTTACTCACCAAGAAAGCAAAACACACCAGTGTTTGCATTGCGACCACAAGAGTTCAAACTCGAGTGATTTGAAACGACACATAATTTCAGTGCACACGAAGGACTACCCCCACAAGTGTGACATGTGTGATAAAGGCTTTCATAGGCCTTCAGAACTCAAGAAACACGTGGCTGCCCACAAGGGTAAAAAAATGCACCAGTGTAGACACTGTGACTTTAAGATTGCAGATCCATTTGTTCTAAGTCGCCATATTCTCTCGGTTCACACAAAAGACCTTTCATTTAGGTGTAAGAGATGTAGAAAGGGATTTAGGCAACAGAATGAGCTTAAAAAGCATATGAAGACACACAGTGGCAGGAAAGTGTATCAGTGTGAATACTGTGAGTATAGCACTACAGATGCCTCAGGCTTTAAACGACATGTTATTTCCATACATACGAAAGACTACCCTCACCGTTGTGAGTACTGTAAGAAAGGGTTCCGGAGACCTTCGGAAAAGAACCAGCACATAATGCGGCATCATAAAGAAGTGGACCTGCCCTGACAATGCTTCTACAGACATTTGTGGATGCTGGCCTCAAAGCAGAAAATTTATTTTAAAGCCAATCAGTCCCGTTCACATACAGTACTGTACATTGATTTATACTGTGTACAAATGGAGTATTGGTTTTTGTTGATTTTTTACATTTAATTACATAGGGTGTTCTGTATCCTATTTAGTTTGTTTAATGAGAGTAAAGTAGCAACAATCAGGTTGCTTTTATTTAAATAATCCCTGATTCTATTTTTATGTCTTAGAATTTTTAGTATTTAACTATTTACTTTATTCACCTTGATGGTACTCTTCTAAGACTACTTAAAGATGAAAATGCATAAGATTGGTAACTCTAAAATTGATCATTTTGAGTTTGCTCCATGAATTTTTTATGTTCAGTGGAAATATCTGCTGATAGGAATGGGAGATACTACTACTGTCAGGTCTAATTATAATATAAAAGTCATTTTCTTATCAGTATTTTTAGACCACATGACAATGAAATTTTTCTTATGAGAACTTCGGTAGGTTTGTATTTAATTTTTGTTTTTTCGAAAAGACAAAATACGCTTTCGTCTACTTCCTTTTCAGTGTTTACATCTTACCAGTACAACACACTTTTAGAAATTGTTATTGAAAGGTTTTGATTATTCCTGTTTTGGAATGGTTGAGTTCATATGAGACTTACTGTGAACTGATTTTTGAGGTAAATTGTGGCTCAAAGGATTTTTTGCAACTGGATGTATAAATGTGTTATAATTTTATATATGCTTCTATGTTGCTTATTTTACATATGTATATACACAATTCTAAATTTAAGTTTATAGTGAAAGCTATTAAATGTACAATAAACAGAAAGATCCAGGGATGTACAGAACATTTTACAATCTTGCTACTATTCAGAGAGATTAAAATTCAGCTGAAGCATAACAAGGGGAATAAAGACATTAGTATTTTTAAAGACTCAAGGTAATTTAAAAAAAAAATACTTTGGTAATTGAAAAACAAGTTAAGGTATTTCTAAATAGAATGTATTCTTACAATTTCAGCTTCATAACTTGATTTTGTTTTTTTAAAAAGTGGATGACTATTCAGACATAAACTTCTTGGTTCTTACTCAAAAGCTATGAAAAAAGGTGTCTTTACAATGAAAGGAGTTAGAAAGCAATGGTTTCATGTACCAGAGAATGGGTGCTAATTTATACTTTACTAGTTCTGCCTGCGATTTTTAACAGCAGAGATGCAAAGATTTTAACATTCTACTTGTGTGGGTTTATTTTGTTTTTTGTTTGTTTTTAAGATAAAGATGTACATAATGAAATGTCAGGTTTTATTTGGAATCACCAAGTCACAGTTCTTTTTTTATTGAGAGTTGACATTTAAATGGTCAGTGAGTCATAAATATAGATATAAAATTAATTCAGACATTAAATTAGAATTTGATTTTATGAATACAAATTTTCAAATAAAAATACTTTTTAGTTTACTTAAATTGTCTATGGCACATTGTGGAAGATTAAAAATTTCCAGTGATAGCTACCATGCAACTTCATTATGGTGCTTCCTTCTACTCTTGCTATAAAGTTTTTAACTGTTGCTGCCTCTGTGCCACTAATATTCATATTCAGAAGTTACATTTGTAGGTTTAAGAATCTAAATATTTGAGGGTTTGAAGAGCCTGTGAATGCTAGATTAATTTAGTTCTAAATCAAATGCTTAAGAGACACAGTGCTTTAAACCTAATGCCAACCAAAGCCACAAGAAAGATTTTGGTAACTCATACCTTCTTGGCCTTCATATATGTTCTACCCCTTTTTCAATGTTCATTCATTGTCCATTTCTTAAAAACATGTTATTTTGTGTGAGAATTTTAAAAAATCTTTCTTTTTTTTTCCCCTGAAGTAATATAAAAGAAATGTTTAAATGAAAGTTTACATTAAAAAATTTTAGAATAAGATAGTTATTTATATTTTTAAAATAAAGAACACAACACTTGACATACTTTATTTTCTCAGAGGCTGAAGTCACACAGTTTTGTTTTTAGCACAGTATTGAAACCTTTAAAAAGGTAATTATTTGGTCAAGTGAATATGATTAAACATTTATAAAGAAAAAGTGAAATTATACTTACTGTTATGTACTATATTAGTTACAGGCTATTTTAATTTTTAAAACAATTTGACTAGCAAAGCTAAAAAAGTGGTGTTTAAAGAGGTACACATTTGTACAAGAACATAAGTTATTGTTTTATTGAAATGGCCTATTAAATATGTCTTCCTCTGTACACATTGTAAAATACTTAAAGTAAAATACTTATGAAATTCATTTAGAAGAGTGGACACTATTGTAAATGTGTACTTGAGAATAACATGCAAAATAAAATTAGAATATTTTCTGTTAATGGTTAGTTTATTTGATACCAGTATTGTTTACACTTTTAAGAAAAAAACAAACATGCAGTTTTATTAAATCTAATAAACATAAAACAGTGTACTATTTTTGTTTTCCTATTTCTTAATTCATTTTACATAGCAATGGAATGGAAAATGCTTAATTTTAATATTGTGACTTGGATGTAAATGTTAATCTCATGGTTTTGCAAATAATATTTCAGAATTGTTAAAAGCTAATCAATGAGTCTTTTAATCAACATGTCCTTGAAATTTATTTTTATTTTTATCTTCACAAAAGAGGTTTTTAGTATCTCTAATTCTTCTGAGATAAATTTCCCATGATAAAATATTTTTACATATGTATTTTTTAATTTACTGGGGTGACATTAGCTAATAACATAAGTTTTAGTGTATATTTCTATGATAACGTTATTCATTGCATTGTGTGCTCACCACTCATAATCTCGTCTTTTTGTTGCCATATATTTGACCCTTTTTATGCTCTTCGTCCTTTCCCCAGTCCCATTTCCTCTAGTAACCACTATGTGGTTTTTGTTTTGTTTGTTCATTTGTTGCTTACTGTTTTATATTTCATGTATGAGTGTAATTGGTTCTTGTCCTTTTTCATCTGACTTATTTTCATTTAGCATGATATTGTCAAGATTCATCCATGTTGTTGCTAATGGCAGTATTTTATCCTTTCTAATGGCTGAGCAGTATTCCACTGTAAATATATTTCACATCTTTTTTATTTAATTATTCATCAGAGGACACTCAGGTTGTTTTCAAGTCGTCGCTATTGTGAGTATGGCTGCAATGAACATAGCAATGTATATATCTTCATGAATAGTGTTTTTATATTTTTTGGGTTTACATGGAGAAGAGGGATTCTGGGTCACATGATAGGTAAAGTTTTTTCGTTTGTTTGTTTGTTTCCCAGCATGTAACATTCATATGCAGTACTAAGTTGATAACAGCAGTTTGTGATGATGATTGCTATCTCCATAGCAAAATGCCCTTTCCTAGAGTTACCCTTTTTGCCCAGTTGGGAGGACACTAATATACTATACAATGAGTTATTGTCATAGTAAAAATCAGAAGCTAAGTAAAAGTTATTAGGTGTTTTCTCAGTTGATTTGGTGTATTATAATAGTACCATGTACTGGCAAATACGTCTCACAGTTCTGGAGGCTGGGAAGTCCAAGATGATACTCAGCAGATCAATTGCCAGTTTTTAGTTCTTGGACTGCCTTCTTTTTGTGTCTTCACATGGTGCAAGTACCGTGGGGTCTCTTTTATGAGGTAAGTGGCTTCAATCATGAGGACTCTATCCTCCATATCTATCTTGCAGAGGCCCACCTCCTAAAATCATATTGGGATTAGGGTTCTACATAAGAATTTTAGGGAAACACAAACATTTAAACTATATTAAAATTTGAAAAAGAAAAAACAATTGAGACATTTTGATGTTTATTGAGTTAAGATTTAGGAACCATAACAAACAGAACCTTAAAATATAGTTAATGATATTTAATAAATTGACACTACTCTGTAGTAATCACCTCTATTTAGTTCTAAAATATCTTTGATTTTAAAGGAAAAGATCTTCAACTCTAGAAATGTTTGCTAATTTATTTTTAGTAAATTTTTTTCTAATCTATAATCCTTTTTTCCCATTTTTTAATTTATTTCTGTTACAGATGTTTATTTTTTTCCCACATTGACTCACTCCTCCCCATTCCCTACCATTTCATCCCCAGTTTTGTTGTCTCTGTCCATCATTTCTGTGATTTATCTCTGCCCCCAACCCCTTGCTGAGGAAAATCAGTCTGTACCCTATTTCTATGTGTCTGGGTCTGTTATGTTCATCAGTTTGTTTAGTTCATTATATTCCAGAACTAAGTGAGATTATGTGATATTTGTCTTTCTCTGCTTAGCTTCTTTCGCTTAGGATAATACTTTCCAGGTTCTCCCATGTTGTCTCAAAGGATAAGAGATCTTTCTATCTTAGTATAGCTGCATAGTTCTCCATTGTGTATATGTACCACAGCTTTTATCCACTCATCTACTGATGGACATTTGGGCTGTTTCCAGATTTTAACTATTGTAAATAGTGCTGCTATGAACATGGGGGTACATATAGTCTTCTTGATTGGTGTTTCAGGCTTCTTAGGGTATATTCCTAGAAGTGGGATCACTGGGTCAAATGGCAGTTCAATTTTTAATTTTTTGAGGTAACACCATATTGTTTTTCATAGTGGCGGCACCAGTCTGCATTCCCACCAGCAGTGTACTAGAGTCCCCTTTTCTCCACACACTCGCCAACACTTGTTTGATGATTTGTTGATGGCGGCCATTCTGACAGCTGTGAGGTGATACCTGTTGCTTTAATTTGCTTGTCTCTGACGATTAGTGATGTTGAGCATTTCTTCATTATGTCTCTTAGCCATTTGTATGTCCTGTTTGGAGAGGTGTGTAGTTTCTCTGCCCATTTTTTGATTGGGTTCTGTCTTCCTTTTGTTGAGTTGTATGAGTACTTTATATATTTTGGAAATTAACCCCTTATCTGATGTATCATTAGCAATTATGCTCTCCCATACAGTGGGTTTCCTTTCA